GGATTCACAGATACTTGGTCCTACAAATTCTCCATAAATATAAGACTACAGCAAGTTACTATTTTGTTGAACATTTAGATTTGTGATTCACCAGTTCCCCCCTTTAAAAATTGTGTCTGATTTGAACAACATTAAAATAAGAAGATGTGGTATGATTGCCAATGATACAACTCTCCACCAGAGACCAAACGACATTGAATAAATTTTTCTACATGTATCTAACTGTTAATGACATACTAGACATTTTCATCAATTAATTCGAACCGATAATTATCGCCATTTGTCACTGTGAAACTACAGTTTTTTTTGTGTGTGTAAAATTTAAAATATAGAAATTTGATTAAGTTCTGATTGACTACAAGATAACATCAGATAGAATGTATGTTTACATTAGCAACAGCTGTTCAGTAAAGTGGCTGCTTTTGTTGACACAGGCCGCAGATGTTAAGCAACCAACCTGTTTGAATATGGTCTTTTTTGTTCTTTTATACTCTTACATCAAAAACTTTGTTTTATGCTTCATTACTGTACAATTCAAATTAGTAATTACAATAACACATTTCCTTATCTGAACATAATAGGATGGGTTGGAATAGTTTGGTAAAATAATTGATTCATCCTGAAAAAAAACTTGGGACAAAATTTGTTATAATTGTGAACAAGTAAGTATTTGAATACAGAATAATTTTGAATTCTGGAAAATTGATAAGAAATGTATCATGAAAACTAACCCAATTTAGGAGGGTTGGGAGTTGGTATAATTAGTTCATACTGAAATATCGTGAAAGAAAAATGAATGCATGGCTAACCCTCTTTAGTTTAATTAGTTTTCATCATACATTTCTCATCAATTTTTCAAGTATTCAAAATTATTCAAGATTCAAATATTTCCTTGTTTAAGGTGTATTTGTCAACTCAAAGACATGGAAATATTAGTCCATGACAATTCCAGCCTTCTTTACAGAGATAAGACTGGCTTACGTCAGAAAATAATTTTACTGAAATAGAAAACTCTTAAATCTTTTACTTCAGCAGTTTTCAATCATTTTTCATGTTTAACGACAGTTTCAAGACTACTGATCATAATGTTCAAAAGGCAAATAATCATATATTAAGGCCAGTAAAAATTTAGATGGTCTCCCTGAAAATGTTCAAAAACTTATAAAAATTCCGAAAATATTTTCACGAGTCCTTTTAGTTATCTCAACTGATCAGTTCATGCTACTTACTAAGGCCAAAAATAGAATTAAGATCGTTTGATGTTGCATACCTACTCAAAAAGCAGCCTACCTGAAAAATTTTAAAACACAAATCGGTTCAAATAGTTTTTAAAAGATTTTTTCGGTCATTTTCTTGTCTAAAACATGTAACTTGTGTTGTTGGCCAAAAAAAATAGAATCACTTACCTACCTACCCAACCCCACAAGGCATGGGTAGGCAACATCAAACAAAGAATTTTTCAAGGGTGGCCTAAATCTGAAATCCTGTTTACATCCCTTGTCTTTTCAAAAGAGGGAAACATTTTTACCAAATAGGGTTCTACGACCAATCATCGAGTGGCCTAGCCTTCCATCTCCCTTTCAGTACATTTTTTCAGCTTTGCTACTAATACATTTTTCTGAGTAGCCCCTGGAATTATTGGGTCAGTGGGTTACATGTAAACAAATATTTTGCCCCTGCTTATTTCCATTTTCATCTGGAATAATTCTACAATATTACATGTACATGTATTTTAATATATCATGAATCACAACACAGTTATGATGTTTTGGAACAGAAGTATTAAAAGTGAGGACCAGGAGATTTTCTTCCAAGGACCACCCGGGAAAAAAGGTTTTGCAAATTCTGTAGTGGCCCCAAGCAGATTTCCATTTCGAGTTGAAAAATTTTATTATATTACATGTACATGTATATTTATGGATCATGAATCACTTAACCAAATAAATCAATTATTAACTTGATCGCATCATTTAACGATCAATCACTAAATATGAATTATTTGAAATAAATTTCTCGTTATTCATCCCAGTTAACAAAATATATGACATCCGAATTTCTAATACACAAATAACAACTTGTGTATGGTAATTTAAAAGACATTCGTACTAGCGTAGGTTTGTCAAAATCAAAATTACGAATTTAAATTGAACTTGTTAAATTATAATTAAGTCAAGTTTTGAAATGATCGTAGAAAATTTAAACCAATATTCCTATTGCTCACACTAGACTAATGAAATACAAAAGACGGGGAAATGCTTGTGGTTACTTTTTTGACATTAGTTTACACCTTTCTGTCTTAATCATATAAGGGCAAACCTAAAGTTAAAATCATTGGTAAAAAAATAAATTATACATGTATATATTCAAAGGTACTCAACATTAAGACACTTCTCAAAATTTTTTTGTACCTATGGCCTGCCTGTTGGCCTAATTTTGGTAAAATCTGGTATAATTCAAAGACCTATCAATGTTGCAACCTATTTTTTTCCCAACTAAAAACCTATCATGTGGTATTGGGATGGAAATATTACTTATGAGGGTCAGGGGGGTCTTTATTTATGTATTCTTTATAATTTTAAGCCATTTCTCTCCACTCTTTATTTTTTTGGTCCATTTTTCTCTGTTCTATACTATATCAAATTTTTTTTGTTTTTACAATTCCAAGTATCTTCAGGATATCGGTCAGCCTCATCCGACTAAATGAACAAAATAAACAAATACTGAGTAACATTTTAACATAATATCAGTCATCATTTTAATAGCTGTTTGAGATGTTTTAATTACAATAAGATGTAAAAAGTACCCTGTTTTTTTTCTTCTTCCATACAAATCCTACTTAAAATGATATATGATACTTATACATTTAGCCTTTTGAAATTGTGCACCTGGCCTCCCCACACGATAATCTAATGGGTGTTGATTTCTTTAATATTAAAATGAACATTAAAGAATTTACAGTGAAATTTATTACAATAATCTGAATTCCAAATAAGGCTAGTTTTTACTATATATAATAGTAAACTCTTTTACAACTCTGTGACTGTGCAAAATCTTAATCTATGAACATTTTTTTTTACTAATCTGCAATCCAAATAAGTCCAAATATTTTTGATGATTCATTTTACCAAGTCAATTTCAAAAACTTTTTTCAACAAAATTTTGTATGGATGAAATGAGGAAAATTTGGAAACAAACCCGAACAGACCCTAATTTTCCAAGTAGGACAGGTGTAGTCAAGAATTTTTTTTCTTGGCCATGATTAATATATTTTGAATTCATAAATATAAAATATATAATTTATTTCAATAAAAATAACTTACTTTTGAGACATTCCCTAATGTGTTCAATTTCCCCTCTAATATATGACAGTTTATTTCTTTAGTTTGTAAGCTATTTAAAGTATTCGAAAGAGGCTGTTGACCAGCTAAATACCCTTTTTTGCATTTTTTGGCCATCTACCTTTCTACCCATACAAATTTTTAAAAATTTCAATAAAATATTTGCTATTTATGACTTCACTGCAAGAATTTTTCTTAAAATCAAACTGTTGCTAAAACTAAATAGATAATGCTGGTCATGGAACAGACTATAGTGTCAAGTTTTCTTATTTTCAAATACTTTCTCGCATATTCAAGGTCCAGCCTTCATTATATATTTGTATCATTCTCCCAAGCAAAATTTTTCCCTCTTTCCCCAACTTATTACACGGAATAATCAATTGAATTATTTACCATGATTTCTCGAGGAGGCTTTAAGAAATCGGCAACTCAGTTACATCTCCATTTCAGAAGAAATTCAATTTCTCTTTACTATAAACTATTATCAGGAGCTTAAGAGGTGATAATGTTAACAAAAGCACAAGCCATAACACGACCGCTCAAGGGCTAATAAATTTGTACGACTTCAGGTAAAATTTATCACACAGGTAGTTTACTTGTCGCTCGTCTAACACCTGTTCCAACTTTTTATTCACGACAAAAACTTATATAGGGCTCAAAACAGGAAAAGAAATGATAAGACCATGTAGACGGAATCTTTTTAGATTGATAGATGTTAAATTTTAAACCTTTAATCTTTTGGCCTCCCAAGAAAAAGGCTGCACAACAAATTTTGTGCTGATTTAAAAAGAAAAAAAATATGTAACTGATAGAGTTAATTAACCCCTTAGCCCGGTAAATGAAGTCTTATGAAGGTGGCCTTTATCTAGAGGTTTAATTTCAAAGGAAATATACAAATGCAGCCCATCTAGTGTCTGGAACTATGATGTAAGAATGTACAGTGTATTTTAGCCTTCAGAGTTGTTGAAATCTTGTTGAGCCAGGTGCCCATTAAGACCACCAAGACTACAAAATCTGGTGGTCCTGAATTTGCAGATTTTTTTTGTTTTTAATTATTTCCAAACAAGTATAAATAAAATTAGGCTAATCTGAACAATGATCAGTATCAAATGTTTGTAATCAGAAGCTACCCCATGTATCCTAATTACCAAACAGCCTGAAAACAAGAATGTGTCCATAGTACATGGATGCCCCACTCACACTATCATTTTCTATGCTCAGTGGACCGTCAAAACTCTAATTTGGCATTAAAATTAGAAAGACCATATCATAGGGAACATGTGTACTAAGTTTCAAGTTGATTTGACTTCATCAAAAACTACCATGACCAAAAAATTTAACCTGAAGCGGGACAGACAGACTAACAGAGGAACGAACGAACGGATGCACAGACCGAAAAACATACTGCCCCTCTACTATTGTAGGTGGGGCATAAAAAACAAGAAAACCACCACAAACTTTAGGTCAGACATTAGGTCCACAACTACACTACAAATTTTATGGACCTACCTAATTTTTGATGGTCAGGACCAAAAAGGACCATCAGTTTAAAAAAATAACACTGCTGATGCCTAAAATACCTACAGAAAAATAAAATTAACCTTCAACCAAGAAGTCATGACATGACAAGAGTTAGTTCCCTTTAATAAAGAGTTAACAAACCTTGTTTATAGTTCATCCCAGCAGGGTGGCCACCAGGGTGTCCGCCAGGGTGGTTACCAGGGTGATTACCGGGGTGGTTACCAGGGTGGCCACCATTTCCTCCAGTTGGTGGGGAAAACATCTGAAAATACAGAAAATAATTTTTATTTTAAGATACATGTATTTCGACCTTCAATCGAGTTTTTGACCAGAACAACATTTTTTTTTAACACAAAAGTTTCAGAATTTTCATTTTTTAAATGCTCATCAACTTTGTATTTGATTTGGTCATCGAACTGTTGTGATTCGAGCGCCACTGATGAATCTTATCAAGAGGAAACCTGCATTTGGCGTACCCAATTATAATCCCAGTATCTTTGATGAGCTTTGATCAAAATTAGTATAAAAATCCTGAACTATATACATTTTGTACTTCCAAGGAATTTGTACCTTATAAACCATCAGCTAACAACTAGAGAGATCAGGAGGAAAAAATTAAAGTCACATGACATTTGTAAACGTCTGCTATTTACAGAAACCTTTATAAAGGAATATATAAATATACCAGTTTGGTTGTAGTGCAAAACTGAATTTGTATTATGTACATGTAATATTACGGTTAATACAGTAAAACCTGCTAATAAAGGTCACCTACAGGACCAGAGAAAATTTATCTTAGAATAGATTCAAAACGCATAAGTACTTCTACAGTGAGACAGGAAGAGAATGACTTGACATGACAGATTTTGTCTTAATAGAGGTGACCTTAATAGCAGGTTTGACTGCAGTATTTCAGATAAACACAAGCCATCATTCCAAATTAAAAATGTTTTTTATTGTTACTTAGAAGGTAAACAAATGTAAAAATCATCCCTCCAGTGCCATGACATATTAGAATTTCATTGTCGTGCTGTTGAAGAATCCATTACAAATTTGACATGTCAGACAACGTTACAACCAGGTGTAACATTTGTGTATAAATTACAAATTTGTGTGACAAAATTAGAGTCTAGTGTCACCAAGGAATGCACAAAGTTTAATTATAGATTACGATGATATAGGTATATATACTTATATGACCTCAAAAATTGTCTGTTTCATAACCATCTTTGAAAAGTCAGCTGACAAAAGTAAAAGAAGATGATCTTAGATACCTTTTCTTGCATCTCTTCAGATTTTTAAATTTTTATAATTTTAAAAGTCACTCATATAAATCCTGTGAATCCCATGTACTAATTTTTGTTGATTTTGTGGCTCTATATATATAACTAAAAATATATATTTAAGACTTGTATGTAGAATCTGTTCAAACCATTAACTCAAGAATCCACCAATTTTGAATATCTCCTGCAGTGTCCAAACTTTTGCGAAGAATTCCACAGAATTTTTAAGACTTTTTCTTACAGATTTCTGAACCGACATTTCATACTCCACTACATTCCTTGACTAACTCATTCTCGAGGTAAACTGTAAACCTAAGGCTAGACTTAACATTTTCATATTTTCAATTTTATGAACCATTTTTTTAATTATAGTTTACTGCCATCAAATTATTTCTCAAATCTGACCATAAATATGTAAAAAATATAGGAGGGAGGATTTTTGTGGCTTTTTCTTTCAGACAAACAAGCCAAATATTCTTACTAATAATTAGTAGATAATAACCATCTATGCCAGCAATACTGATTCAGACAATTTTCATGGCCAACTGATTATAATATTGTCTTGGGAAAATAAATGTAATTTGCACGAGACATAGAAAACAAGTACTGATATATATATTTGAGGTTTGGCATGTATTTTACTCCTGTTCAATGCCAACTACATGTACAAATAAATAAATGTATGCATGTATGCATAAAAATTAGGCCCCCCTTATCAAATTCCTTGTTTGATGTTGCTTTATATATCCATGCCTTGTAGGGTTGGGAAGGTTGGGATTTAATTTTTGTTTTGCCAATAACATAAGTTACATGTATGTGTAAGACAAGAATACAACATAAGAACAAGGAAAAAATCTTTGAAAAAAAATTTTAAAACCATTTGTGTTATAAATTTTTTTCAGGTAGGCTGCTTTTCATGTTTTTAGGCCACATCATACAATTTAAATTTTATTTTGGCCTTTATATTAGAAACATGGTACGGTAGCTGCCATTCTAGTACTTTTTTCAAATTATACAAAAGAACAGATATTATTTTGGGAAACAAAATTGTTTAAGCTTGTCTGCAAACATGTGTTCCTAGGTTCAATGTAACATCATAAATAAATTGCAAACAATGTATATAAAAAGATGGTTAGGAGAGGGTGTCATCCTGTATTCTCAAGAAAAAAAATACACGCTGAATCCCTAATTCCTCAAAAAAAAAATAAAGCATTCTTTCCCAGAATCCAGAAAAATTAATTATTAATTCCTGAGTCTGGATACATGTAAGTGTAAATACTGTTTTCCCGCCAAAATAAAGGCCAAAACCCTGATCTCAAAAAAGGTCCTTCCGGCCCATTTAAAAAGCCACACGTACACAAGGTCAGTAAAACAGAGTTCTCGATAAGTGGTGGTCCTAGGGATTTGACCACCACATTTTTGGGAAGGACCAACACAGTTTTGGTAATTTGCAATAGAAATGACAGTGAGGACCTTCATATTTTCTTCAAGGACCACTAGGCAAAAAAAGATTTCGAGAACTCTGTAAAATGTTTAAACATATTTATTTCTGTGAAAAAAATATCACAACTGCTGTATAAATTTTGATCCACTTTTCTTTTTCCAGTAGCTGGTACATGTATTAATGGTAGATGTTTATCAAGCCATAAAAGGTCGAATGTTTTACAATTCTACTTGAACCAGATATTTTACAACTGCGTAGTTATCTCCCCTTAATATTTGCAATGCCATAAGTACCCATCTGGTGCTACTATTCTTTAGTAATAAAATTTATGAATGGTGCACTATGAACCATCTGGTTTTCTCCATGTTTTTTTTTTTTTGTTCTTTTTCTTTTTGCCTGCAAATGTTGCAACATAAAATGTAAATAATCTAATGCACTTAAATGACACAGATTTTCCCATCTGCCTCACCCACAGCCCAGAAATAATATAATAATACAGGCTCAATAATATGATCATTACATTGCACTTCAATGAAACATTCTTCTAACCTTGTCCAAAACATCTGGCTGATCCAGACTAATGCCATATTGGAGGGCAATATGGAAAATATTGACTAATTTTTTTTTGCCATGAATGTCAAGGACAAAAGCAGAGGAGTTCCAGGTGGCTGGATCAGATGGCCAGTAACAAGCTTTGATGGGAATCAAGACAGATGTGAAACAGACTAGAGGATCAATATCAGATAACAGAATGTAAACAAACAGAAAATACCTTGGATAACCTGGGTTTTAAACAGACTGGATATCTTAGAATAGGAATGAAAAAATGCCTAAAGACAATTGATATGAAAAATCGAAAGTCCACAATCTTTGGTGAAAATAAAAACCACCCAAAAAGCATCAAATTAAAATAAATCTTTTAAAACATAAATATATAAAATAAGGAGATGTGGTATGATTTCCAAATGAGACGACTCTCCACCAGAATTTAAATGAAGTGGATGTAAGTACATTGTGTAATTATAGGCCACTGTACGGCCTTCAACAATATTATGTCTAATTTGTTGGGTTGAGCCAGGGTTTTATGGATTAGACTTTCAAGAAATTAAAAGGAAAGACGACAATTTGTAAAGAGCAAAACCTTGTTGAGGTATTCCCTTCACAAGGAAACTGGAGTAGACAAATTTAATGAACATTTGAATTTGGTTAAATTTGTTTTAAAATTATTTAAAATTTATTGACTTATAAGGACGCTCATTCCGACCTAAGAGTAAGAATCATCAAAAATAAAATATTTTATGAGTTTAAATTAAGTTGAAAGCTGAATATGTTCAGTCAAGGACTCAATTGCATGATGCAGGTTTGGTAGTCAGCACAGGTTTGATAAAGAACCAGTCAGCACAGGAGCAGACTTTTGTTATACAGAATTGTCCAAAACATCTGGCTGATCCAGATCACATGTCCAATTGGAGGGCAATATGGAAATAGTCCATGAATGTCAAGGACAAAACCAGCTCAGTTCCAAAAATGAAGTAGATAAAATTTGTAGTTTTTTTAAAAGTTTTCTTGAAAAAAAAGAATTATTTAAAACAAAACTGGGCTTTCCAATTAAAATTCTTGGCAAATATCACATCTTTCAAGAAAAAAACAGGCATTGGGGCTTTCAAACTGACCTAAATTTCATACCCTTCTAACTTGTTGATACGACCGATATTTTTCAAAGTGGCGTAGAAGTTTGTTACAAATGCGTTGAACAATACATTCTACTCAGACTGACAGTTAACTAAAATAGAAGCAAAATTTGGCATGTCAATCTGTCCATGTGTCAACATGTAAAAAATATCCCAGAAAAATTCAAAAGGTCAAGGTCAGTCTAGCAAACTGTACGTACTAAAATGCATGGAGAAAAAGTCCTCAGAACTTAAACACTTTGTTTATAGTTCTTCCTTTTTTTTTATTATAATATAAATGCTGCTGATTGCAAGTGAGACATATTTCTCTCTTTTTATCAATACACAGGAACTGTCAGAAGACACATGGTACATGTTGCAAGTCATGTATATCCCAAAAAGGGGGAGGGGGTCATTGCTGTTGATTGTACACATAGGTGAAATACCTCAATATCCCAAAAGGGGGAGGGTAATTGCTGGTGAAATACCTCCATATCACAAAAGAGGGGTCATACATGTATATCACTATACATTTTGTAAATTGCGAAAATGACCATAATTCATTCCGCATCACTGTGTACTTTTCACCCTATTTGTGTCCCAAATCAATCTTGCCAAAGGTGGCAGATTGAGGTGCTTAAACCTACCAAAGTTTTACTGCCTCAAAAAAAAAAAAAACAGTCAGCAGACAGGGTAAAACTGAAGTGGGAAAAAATGGAGTTTAAAATTTCATTGGAACTTCTAATGCACAGCTACAGTAACAGAAAACTATAAAGGCTCCTAGGGGAGTTACCAAAGATTTGCTAGCAGGGTCTTTTCATTTTTTAAGCCCTGTAATATTATCTAGTACAATTATTCAAAAAAACATTTATATGCTAAAAATTGGTATTTCCAATGCAATGAAAGACAGGAAATCAGGCATTAAACTTTTCCAACATCTGCGACTCATTTTTCCAAATTTCTTTTCAAACAGCAAAAAACTTCAAATTACTTAAGGACAATTAAACCGTGACAAAGACAGCACACAAAAACACAATAAATTTTAATGGGCAGCTATTTACAATTGCTGTGCATTTGATCAATTACAATTCACAGATAAACCCAATGAAATCTACAGCGAAATCTACACAATTTACAGTGATATTGATCTTTTTGAGATTTTCATAAATAAGTTGAATAATATACCAAAAAGACAAGTAAGGTAACAGCTGGGGAGGTCCTTTAGGGGATTACAAGAAATTCTATATGATTACAATGAAAATTACATTCTCAGGGGCCATTAAAGGGAAAAGCCTTTAATAGTTCTTTCAATGAAATTATACAAATAATTTCAAGTACAATGATTTTTTTCTGCTTTTAGTTCACTTACAGTAGTGGATAATTTTCAAAATCTTATAGAGTTCAAGCATGCCAAAGTTACTTAAAATTTGTTAAAATTACTGGACATTCTTACAGTTGTTTTTAAAAAAACCTAGGGAAGGCACCACGAAATCTCAATTTGGATGAGTGTAAAAGACTATTTTGTGCAGTGAAGATGTAAGAGAAATTCTGAAATTGCCTTTTTAGATGGAAACCCTATTTTTAAAGAGCATTCACTATGTACAGTGTACAAAAAGTATTTTAATAGAACAGCCCTAATTTCAATTCTTAAAATTAAAAGGATCTGCGACACTTTTCACAAAAAATCTTACGATTAAAATTGATCGTAAGTTATACTGAAATGTTCATGACTAACGAGTATTTTTACTCGTAAGATTTTTTGTGAAAAGAGCCCCAGTTTTGTATAGTTTCACTATTCAAAAAAATTCTTATTGAAACTTCTGGTATTAGATTTCCTATTAAATACACTGAAGAACCCTTACATGTATACAATATTAAAAGGTCTTTCACCTCAACTCTAAACATTCCATAACCACTAGAAATATATACAAACATTAGCAAATGCCACAAATGAAAGAAAGTATATTTTTATCTTTTACATATTTATATACATTTGTACATGTACATGTATGTCTGGGCCATGTCAAAGGGACACAACTCAGACAGAAAACACATTATATTCACATGTACATGTATATATTTATTCCAGCATGGTTTGGTTTTTAATTTGTATTAAGTTCAAGATTGTTTTGTGTAAATCAGCATAGATTGATAAGATTCATTTTACACCATATTGTTTTGTGTAAATCAGCATAGATTGATAAGATTCATTTTACACCATACTGTTGATTGATTGATTGATTGATTGGTGTTTAACACCACTTTCAACACTATTGTGCTATTTCATGGTGGTCAGTTTTTATTGGGGTTGGAAGCCAGAGTACCCGGAGGGAACCACCTACATTCGGTAGGAAAACTGACAATCCTGATGTACATGTATAAGACTTTGATTGATTTTGGAACATTCAAATACAAAATAAAAGATGACTTTTGGTCTGTTTTGTAGGGTTCTTAAACCAAATCAATTTTCAAACCGTTGTAAACTTTCAGTAGAGCTTTTTCCAACCAGAAATTTGCATAAGGTCGATTTCTATCTGATGCAGCTCACTTAATAAAACAGCAACACAATGTTAAACTATGCGAGAATTTAAAAGACTGTACCTGAATTCAATTTTATTTTTAAAAAAAATAATTTTGCCGAACAACCCTTTTTTTTTTACAGTAAATACATGCATTTTTTTTGGCCTTATATTGGAAAACTTGAAAACTGAGATTAATCTTAATATCATTCCAAATTTTATTCCCACAAACTAAAATAAATCATGTTTTTCTACCATTGTTCATCTTAAGCTTATGTAGTTCAAGGTGACCTTTGAAAAAAATTCTAACCTACATGATGACATGTATGTCCAATAATTTAGTTATCACAAAGATGTTTTAGTAAACAGTTTCTAGCATGGAATTAACACCTGATTAAAGAATAAAATTAACACTATGAAAATCTAGTACATGAACGTCAGAAGCACTTTTCTGAATTTACCTTCATTAGACTGGTTAAAACCCAAAAAAATTAATGTCAAGGACGCATGAAATTCTAATGTCAAAGTTCATGTATCTATATATTTAAATCAAGATCAAAGTTGTTTATTACAATATGAACAATATTCTAATAGTTAAATTACAAGACTTTTAAAACTTCTACTGAACTTCATTATATGATCCATTAAATTAGTTGCTATTTTGTTTCTTTTTAAAGGTGAGATTGTCAGATTTGACAAGATTCTAATGTCTGTAATGAAATTGAAAACATGTTCCTAGAAACTCCATTTCATGCAGTTGAAACAATCTGTCAACCAACCAACCAACCAACCAATGCAACCTATGAATCAATCGGACAATACAAGCAGTTACCAAAGAAATTTTGTGGGGTAAAAATATTCAGTTTTGTCTCTAAAATAAATTGTGAGGAGATGAAATTGTGTGGTTCTATGTAATATATTTTGTAAATGTTAATATTCTGTCCACAGACTTAAACTACAATGCATGATAACATGAGCAAAGTTATCATATCAGATTAATTTTTTTAGGCTTTACCAAGTCAGACTAGCTCGGCCATTTGTTGTTTATAATGTGAGTTTACACGGTACAAGTTTCCATCCAATTTTTTTTACCTATAAAGTCGCTTCAACAAAAATCAAACCTGGTCGACAGTATCAAATCGGATGGAAAATCGTACAGTGTAAACGCAGCTTTAGTCTATTTTCTTTAGCAGATCAGCAGTCTTCGAATTTTGCACAGGACCGACAGCCCCTGGCCTGTGAAAATCTGTTCGATCCTGTTGTAGTGTTGATTTTTGTGATTTTTGTAATACAATCTTAAGAAAAATTTGAAGAATCATGAATTCGGTCTTGTAAATGCCAAACCTCAATTTCTATGACTGGACCAGGTGATGGTGTTAAATATGGTCCGTCACAATGTCTAATATTTCCATACAGTAAATTCATAAATTTTTACAAGTTTTAACTAAAATTCACATTTCAAATTTTGATAGCATTATTTGTATTAAGCCATTCCCTGAATCGCAATAATTTACCTCATATTTATGTCTATTATTAAACAAATGCATTAAAATAAGAAGCTGCTGAACCAACGCCTTTGTGGTGAAGTGAAGGTAGAGTCACTAAAGAGGATACCCGATGGTATGCAGGGTTGTCAATAAAAATAAATAAATAAAATACCGTTGGATTGACAACAACACTTTAGTGAACTGCAAGTTTTATTGTGTCGACTAGTTTCGCCGATCTCTAATCGGCGTCTTCAGGACAAATTATATAGAAATTACAATCTCTGAAGTATAAAAAAATGGTATCTAAATTTTAACGTCATAATGTGTTTACTCCGTTGTCTTTGTTGTTCCTGGTTACCAATGTATGAATGAAATGAAAAAATTACAAATGTATGTACATAAATAAGGTAGTAAATAAAAAAATATGTGTAACATGATTGTAAGTACAATGTCAGTGTACAGTTTGTATAAAGTTTCTTCCTAATTTGGACAACACTTTTAGGGCACACCCCTAACACTTCGACTGGCTTCCATTTGGCCAGAGGTACTACTTCCAATCGCGTCGGAAATGCATTAAAAGTGCACATAAAATATCTGATTTAACAGTAATTCATGTGATGTGTTATTTCAATGGTATTTTCAAACAGTCAGTATCAAAGTGTTCTCTACAAAATACTTACTGCACTGAAGTCTAATAAATCATTTAGTTCTTTATCAGAATGGACATTCATCCTGTCACCAAAAGTTGGTCCCATTCCATGCATAAATCTGAAATACAAAAAATCTTTAAGTTCCTTATCAGAACGGACATTCATCCTGTCTCTTACCAAACATGCATAAATCTAAAATACTAAAAATCATTACATTTTTTTATGATTTTATGCAAGTCCATTATCTGAAATGCAATTTAATAAAACTTTATCAAATCTTCAATCATTCTGGGACCATTTGTTGTTTATTGATGTTATGTCTTTTGTCTTAGAGGGGTTTGGTGCTGGTCGTTGATGTCATCTGTTGTACACTGTCTAATATTTTTGTTAATTTCTATTTATCCTCTTTATGTACATGTACATGTGTATTATTGGATACATACATTTTTTGTACATATAGATCCCACCACTGCATCATGTACATGTGTATTATTGGATTATTGGGTACATACATATACATGTAGATTCCACCACTGCATCAAGTGTGTTAAGTTATTTCTCCACTCAAGATGGTTGAATTTTAATATTTAAAATAAAGCATGGGGCTTCCCTTAAACTTTTTAAATAATTAAAATTTAACTGTTGAGAGTGGAGAAATATCGTAATACAGGAGATATAGTGGTGGAATCTGTTTCTTTAATGATTTTTAGACGATATCTTAACAAAGTTTATCCGTCCTTTTCAAAGATTTGCAGAAAGTTGTGTTTTTTTTTAAATGTATAATTTCCTATTGTGACGTCTTAAAAAAAGGCAACCATGCCTGATGACATCACGTATATGATATAGGAAATTCAGAAGAAAATTTGACATCATAATTGAATTTCCACCAATCATTTCCTGAGAACGAAGTTTTCTCTAGAGATGAGAAATATTTTTCTCACACCAATCGAGAAATGTGAAAAAAGCATGAAAATTAGAGAAATACAATTTGTACATACATGTTCATGTTTATGTTATATATTTTCAACCTTGTAATACAATACACATCTGACATGTTTCTTTTAAAAGATCTGTCTACACTTACAATATAAAATGTATACTACACATAAAAACCTCTCTTGAAAGTGATTGATTGATTGATGGTGTTTAATATATAATAAGAAGATGTGGTTTGATTGCCAATGAGACAACTCACCAGGAGAAACCAAATGACATAGAAGTTAACAACTATACTATAGGTCAGCATAAGGCCTTCAACAATGAGCAAAATTCAATGGTCAGCTAGAAAAGCCTCAAAATCACAAATGTAAAACAATTTAAATGAGAAAACTAATGGCCTGATTTAACACCACTTTCAGCACTCTGAGGGATTTCATAGCTGCAAGTTTTTATTGGTGGAGGAAGCCAGGCTTCCCAGAGGGAACCACCATCCTTTGGCAGGAAAACTGACAATCCTAGTCAATAAATATATCAGAGTCAAACTCACTGTGTCAGCGCACATAATTTTGGAATTGAGTATTACCTGTACATATATATTCAAATTCTGGCTTGGTAAGACTGAACAAAATATACTTGCACAAGAACTGAAAGATGAAAATGAATATTATGTCCAACAAAATATGGGTTCTCAGTAATGATTATGAAGGCGAGACTAGGGACATCATCTTTGGCCATGGCAAGTCCAAAAGTGAGAAGAAGAAATATTCATTGATCCCGAGTCCATGGCAAAATAAAGCAAGAACATTACAATTTACATCAAATTTTGATTATTTAAAAACTTTCGATATCGAATGATGATATGTCATGTATGTGTTGATGCAACATTTTACAATCTTGATGCATCTTTGGACTCACCAGTTTTGAAAATGACAAGTCCAGACAGATTTTTAAGAGTCCAGCACTTATGGACTCGCCTTAGTGAGTAAAACATATGTCAGACAACAAATGTACGTCATGTTTGAATCATTTGAATTATTTTACATTTGTCATTTCAGGGCCTTTTATAGCTGACTTTACAGCATGGGCTTTGCTCATTGTTGAAGGCCATATGGTGACCTATAATTGTTAATTTCTGTGACATTTTCTTGTGTAGAGTTGTCTCATTGGCAACTATACTATGTCTTCTTATTTTATATGTACAAGTTACAAATAGGTAAAAACAGATATTCCTCCTAGCCTGTTCCTCCCCAGGAAATCAAATGGTTGTCCCCTAATCAAAACAGAGGCCCAGTCTAGAATTCAAGGTTATACTGTTAACAAAAGGACAAGCTCTAAATCATTCCCATGTTTAAGACAATTTTTAAATAAACTGAACAGACCTGACATACATATCTGACACTGACACCAAATCAATTAGGAGCTACAAGTGTGGTGTCAACCACTGAGGGGATGTCATATAGGATGTTGCGCTGTGGTGAAAACCTCAAATCATGTTATTAGAATTCTGTCAAATAGTTTACACACCTAGATGGGTCTGCACATATATATTGTATATTACATGTCAATAGATCAATAGAAATGAATTTTTTTTCTCAAGAAATGGACGAACCACCTTTATCATCATCTTGGTCAGAGAGTGCAAGAGGTTCTAGAAATTAACATAAATTTAACAAACATCAGCACATTTAATTTTTACATGTCACCTTGTATATAAGAACAGGTTATTCCCTTAAATTTTTCCCCAACCAATGGAATTATAAAAAATCATGTTTCATTAAATTGAATTACATGCATGTTTTTTTTAATAGGACTATCTTTCAAGTTACGCTCAAGTTGATATTTTTCTCTTTTTTAAAAAGTAAACAATATAAATAAGAATCTATACAGGATTCCAAAGACACAGTAATTACATTTCTTTACAGTCCTATGTTTTACATATATATAACTGTTTTCTATATTTAAATTAGAGAGGGGAATACCTATTGAATTCCTTTCTGCACGGACAATTTCGGCGGTCTGTATATACAGAAAATTTATGGCGCACTTGACCACTGCGACGTTTGTTACAAGATAGTAAGGACAAAGTAGTTAGTTTGGTATACTATTCCCACCCACCCACCCCAGATAACCATCTTAAAAGTTTTTTTCATTTTTGTATCGACTTGTGTATGGTGAATTTTGATGTATTTGTGTATGGCTGATATTATATAGATATGTTAAATTAAATGCGATCTTGTAGCGAACACACAACTATACTGTGTTTGGTTTTTTCTAAGATATCTAGTAAAGAAAAACTTTATTTTCAGAGGAGTGAAACGAGGGAGAAATTAACCCAACAAATCAAATATACATGTACATCTAAAGGGCAATAGTTTATGTATATCTGAAGTTTGAGGTGTTATAGTATGATCCAGTTATAACAAATTATCTCCCTTTGCAAATTTTGTGTGAAATTTCAGTTTCTTTCTTTAAATATTATTTGGAAATAAAATCTAATATTTTGCAGACATACATTGTACATGCAATTAGAAGTACTGCTGTTACAAAGATTTAATTTGCTACTTTTTTGAAATAAATATTACCACAAAATTAATTTTAACTTATTTCTTCATCATTCTTGTAGTTTTGGACTACACATACATCCATGTATTACTTCAGAAACCAGTATTTCGTACGAAAAGGGAACTACCATAGCAGAATCCAGCTATTTATCATCCTAAATCTATCCAAACTGGTCAACATGGTTACATTGTATTGTATGCTGTCTCCCACAGTTCCCGAAAAGTATTAGAAGGGTTTGACCATCAAAATTTTGCAAAGGACAGACAAAATTTTGGGTATTTTGCAATAGAAATAATAGTGAGGACCAGCAGATTTTCTTCAAGGAACACCAAGGGAAAAAAAGGTTTGTAGAACTCTGCTCCAACACCAGACAACAAGACAAGTTTCTATACAATGAGTCGAAATTTTGCAAGTCTACATGTTCGGCTTTAATGGAACTTGGAACTCTTCACTCAAACATTTTGCTTATCATCTCGATGTCTCATGTGAGAGAGACATGTCATGAAAGAAAATATCTTAAAATTAGAAATATTCATAGATAAAAATAGATTTCTTACAGTACTGACCAGACCCATCAGTCGTGATTAATCTCAAAGACAGATTTGAATGAAATAACGTCTTGTAAATAATATTCAAAACTCATGTAAAACATATAATGTAAACATTGCTAAGTTTTTCTTGGTTTCATTGAAAATATTTCGACAAAAATGTATGTACATGTAGACAAATAAAAACATAAAAATAATGCATAGTAAAAATAAACAAATAGTGAATTAAAATTGCATGTCCATGTGAAACAAATGCTGCATTAAATATTGATACAGTAAAAAAAACATGAACAGTTGTTTGGCATTGATTATATAAGGGGTGCCGTGTGTTTCTGAATAGTAAGACCATCTGTTCTGTAAAATATGGTCTTTCCCACGAGCAACAGTTGGAACAAAATACAGCTGGTCACAACATGAACGACAAAGTTGAAGATCGGATGTGTATTTCTTTACTATATTCATTTTAGCTTTAAGGAATAGTTCCTGAAAGTTGATATGTAATATCTATTGACCAGCATCTCCAACATCTTAGTGACGGTCATCTGATCGGAATGTAATAATTTGATTCATCAATATTTTTTTCGTGCATGGTATCGGATTTCAAAAAAGTTTAGGATATTTCAGAGAGAAATGGATGCATTTACTTCTTAAGTGTGGATCTCACCTATTGTCATTTAAAACACATTGCGATCCTGAGTTTTACACGTCTACAAATTAAGGAAAGTATCGGAATATGGCGACAGTTCTTACCAAAATAGGGGGGTCATGTCCACGCTGTCTTACCTTTGTGGGCGACGATTTTGCCAACCGCCCTGGCGATCTTCCAAACCGTCCGAATTTATCATGCTTGAAACTCTACCCTACGAGTAGGGATTCCAATTTTTAACTTCCAATGAGTTATAAGGACTTTTCATGCACTTGAAATTAACCTTATCCTTAAATTTCTGACATTGTTCGATATTTTCTTTGTCGTGACGGCGTACCGAAGTTGATATTCCTACGCGAAGCGGCTGACATTTGAAATCGCTTTGTTTACCATTTATTTGATTATTGGGTTGAAATCAAGTGACTGTGTTGATTGTAATAAAATACAAACTCTTCAGTTTTTTACATTTTGGATACATTAATGTTGATATATTAATGTCTTGTTTTTACAGGAAGGATAAACATTTTTGGATCGCGGACTAAAATTAAAGAGAGTCGTGAGGTGACCAATGTTTTCATCCAAGTTGCAATATACAACAAGGTTCCAAAAGGGCAATTTTATAAAATAATTATTTTTTAAAATATGTTAACATATTTTTTTTGTAGAACTACTATAAAAGAAATCCAAAATATAAATCACCTTACCGAAAACTCATCTCTTTTTATCAAATTTACAGCTCTATTTAATTGGTATAAGATGACACATATATAACCCCATGTAGAATACCTCTCAACCGATCGTTATGAATGGGGTCAACGTGCACGCTTGAATGAAATAGTTTCGGAAACGAATTGATGATCACAGTAAAGGTGTGAAAATCTTCGTTAATCTTATTTAAGCAGATTAAAAGGGATTGAGTGTGTAATATACACGGAAATACAATGTGAAAGTGTTAGGTTATAATTGTTGCCCTTTCAATTTCTTATTTTTTGCGTTTCTTTCATCTTTAGAATGTTTATTGAATTATTAATACAGTAATATTAGTATTTATGATAATTCTAAAAACCCTCTTTTATCAGTCATTTTGATATTGATGAACCACATTTAAAAATACATACCAATTTTAACAAAAGAAAAGAGAGCAAGAGAAGAAAAAACATAACGTCTTGAAGACAACATCATTAAGTTTAAGTCTACGGAGACAAACACATTAAAAGTCTAAGAACTGAATAAAAAAGTCGGGTGTGGTGTCTGTTGCGAAGGTCTATTACTTACACTGTCCGGCAATACTTTTGACAATTCCTTTATTCTTTTTTTTAGTATCTTGGAACTAAATGAATAATCGAAATAAGTAAATATTGGTGGGAATATTTTCATTATAATTTATAAGTTCGCAGCACATTTTTATATTAATTGAATATTTTATAAAACATCATGTACAATACTGAATTTATATGTATATTTAAAAGCGTACACCAAAGCAGTTAAGTTAAGCTTGGCACTGGGAGCTAATAATGCCACTTGATTGCAATATCCTTCCATAGTCAAGAGCAATCTAGCTAGATAGATAGATATAAGAAGATGTGGTATGAGTGCCAATGAGACAACTATCAACTCTCCAAGAGTTTAGATTTGATAGACTTATCTTAAATAAATGCTGATGATACCCTAAGGACTAACAATTTACAATACCATGGGTGGATTATATTCCCCGAGTAGGTAAACAAGGAGGGGGGTCCACAGGAGCCAATTAATCAGCATTGTTTCTCAGGTATTGTATTTATGTAACTGCAAAAAATAGCCAATACCTCCTCTCGGCGAAGACGGTGTTTTTTAACAGCACACATGCATGCATATAAACCGTTTAAGAAACAAAAAAAGATAGATGTGTTACTACTATAGGGGGTGTTTGACGACCTTGACTGGTTATTAAGCCCTCGCACGGTCGGTAAGACGTGATACAGTGTAAGTAATTAGCTTATATCGATATGCATAAATATATAAATAGGATAACAGGAATCATCATTAATTGCATGTGAACGGCAACTCGGTGGTCTCGTAGGAGCGGGCTCGCCTCGAATGCGTAAGGTCGTGAGTTCGATCCCCTACCGCGTCAAACCAAATACTAGTGCTTGAAAATTGGTATTTTCGTATTCTCTGCCAAACACGCGGCATTTATAGGAGTAAGATTAAAGACTGGCCGACTCGGAGTTAGAATAATGTGCCCGGGTAGGGTGACATGTCTACCTGCAGATTGTTAAATTGTGAGTCAGCACATAAAAAATTCGGCTTAGCGTCTCGGTCTAGTACGTGACATAACAGGCTTAATATTGATATCACATTGACATGTTCTCATCCTTAAAATGTTTTTAATTTGCCACTGGACGTTAAAACCACCCGATTGATCCCGAAATATCAGACGTACGAACAAAGATAAACAACACACGGTCCAGATTGATACAGACACAAAATGTTATGAGGTTAAACCAGTTGTACGTGCGTACCCTTCCCCCCTCTTTTCCACGCCATTGTTTGCCTATCTAGACTGTACACCTCCAAAAGGATGCCTTCTACTAACTTAAACATGAAATTATAAAGAAATTGGCACATAATTTAGAAAGCAGTGACTAAATGTGCTCTCTACTACAGAAAGCTTTAGCTAAGGTAGCTACAGGTTAGATACAGCATGCCGCTCAAGAAAACAAAAACATCAGAAACAATACAATATCCCTTACATAATAGAACAAACAAATGATATGGGGTATCCATCCATGACACAAAATCAGTACATGCACAGCAAAAAAACACACAATAAGCAAAGGAACAGCGCTTTTATTGCTGTTTTTCATCTCAAAGTCAAAGTGAGACCTTCAACACGGAGCAAAAAAAACTCTCACCTCACTGCAAGTTTAAGACGGCCACTAGCACCGGCTTGAGCGGAATTCTTTGCAAAAATAAATTTGGATAGACTTTGTAAGATGTAACACCACCTAATGCAGGTTTCAGAAAGTCTCATTATAAACTTAATTGACATCGGTAATATTTGTTTAGTGGCCAGTAAGTATTAAAAATTGCCATACACTGAGAGACGATGCAAGATTCGGATTTTAAGTACTGTAGGACTATCTTTTTTACTGATATAGTACTGAGTTGATTCCTTTACCTCGGTATGCGGAAAACTAGAGACAGAGCAACACGACCACCTCCTCCAAAAACTTGAACGACATTAACTCATGTGGTTCGGAATAGTTCTGCTCCACTCGTGACTCGGAAGCGGTTCTCCTATCCGTTAATGACATATTACCTAATATTAGCCCCATTAAGCCAGATGACTGACATGGGTGGGTTCAATGTCCCCAGGGTTGGAGGTTAGTCATTGTCATTTGCGCAATCCTAGAATTCTACAAAATTCATAAAGCATATGTGATCATATGTAGGTATATTTTCTAATCCTACATATAATATATGATCTAATGTGGAAGTTTGAAGCTAAAAAACACAGTCACCAAAGACATTTTCATTTGGAACATATTTCTTGCATTCAATATATATTGGAGTTAAGTAGTTCTTTTACTAGCATTTTCTGTAATTCATGTCCATCTATGCCTGCATGCACGTTAAAGAACCTTGTGCTTATTTGTAACGTCAATATAGGTGGTCTGTTACAAGGTAAGATATGAATATGGGACATACACCAGTGGATTAGCAACCCAACTATAGACGAATTATCATCCGAAAATGTGTAAAGGTCAGCATAGTCTTTTTCTTTCACAAAAGACGGATGTCTATATACAGTATAAAACATGGACATTTGTTTGACTGCATGGGGTGTATAAATACAGAACCCGGTGCGTCCACTCGAACGTTAAATCCGATACCTCGTGTAGCTTCGAGCTTGATTGCCACCACGTTGTGTGTACGTTAAGGAACCCTTGCACCACACCAAAGCTCCACGAAACCCCTTTCCAAATCGTTAACATCAATTTCACACGCAATCAAAACAAAGCGTCAGAGTTACTTTAAAACTGCCAATACTATTTAAATAGGAGCTGCTTGAATCAGATGTGGATACTAAAAATTCGAAAGATCTGATAGAGTACTTACAGTCTAAGTCCCTCCCCTGGTGCAACAGTATAACACATTTGACTTCTCTACTCTTTACACTAGTATTCCCGATAATACAGATCAAAAGAATTCGGAAACTTTTGTTTCATAAAACAGAATGGCCAACGCAGATACTATACTATCTTGTTTTAGGAAGGGACAATAACAATTTGTAAAAAAACATACGTCTCTGTCTAGTCTGATTCAAACACAGAGTCCATCGAAACTGACATTTAAATGCTATATGGTTTTATTGGCAACATACTAGTATTATTACGTTTAGAGCATGCGTTTTTCAACAGCCAGAAACAAGCTGTGTCCCTCTGCTTGCTTATTTGTTCCTTTATTCTTACGAGACAGAATTTTTTGAAGTATAACTTGTAAAAAAGAAGAAGAACAAAAAGGAGAAGCCTGTATTACCCTTTTACGACACGTCGTTCCATGGACTACATGTAGGATGACCTTTACTGAACAATCCAAAGTTCGGTGACCCTGTTGACTGAACTTTTAATGGAAGCCACAAATTTTCAAATACTAGAAATTAATAATGAGGGTCGGTCGAGAACTAATCTTTACGACAAAAGATATGATTTCAATTCCAATGTATGTGCAGCAACATTCAAGCAGCGCCTGCATATGAAGTATATATCAGAGGCGGATTTAGTGGAGGGGGGGGGGGGGGGGGGGCAGGGGGCCCGAGCCCCCTTTTGTGGGAAAAATTTGGTTGATTATATAGGTAATCACTGAAGCACGATTGGAGCGGGCCCCTCTTAGGCAGTCAGTGGGCCCCCACTTATGAAAATTTCTGGATCCGCCACTGTTTATATTTCCCAGTTACCGTAGACGACTTTCCAGAGCTTTCGTTTTCTATCATGGTTGCCTTGATAGAAAGAGGCTTACTGCTTATAGGAAAGCTATTGTTAAGAGTTCCGGTTTGGTTTGTAAGGTTGAAGTTATTAATTCCATCAAAAATTTTACGGAAGCCTTCATTATTTGGTTGACCGTTTTGGCACATTTGTTAGGGATATGTTCTAATTATCTTAACCACAATCCCGACTTCTCTTCGATTGTGACATTACCGAATGTGACTCATCGAGTTAAGCCATTTCAATTATATTTTATAGTGTGTCTTTTTGTGTTGTAATGTTACACTACTATCTGATATTAGGGTGAAGGTTGGCGCCTGTTAAAACATTTAAACTCGCTGCAATTTTATGCACCTGTCTTAAGTCAGACA